GCAAAACTGCAAGCACAAAGTCACATATGGGGTTATATATATATATTCATATAGGGACTGCCAATAGACTGCTATATTTATATAGAGAAAATTGCATTTGACCACTGACACAACAAACCAATACCACCATCAGCCGCACCACCAAGATGTACAGTCATCACGGAGTCGTCAAGTAGATAAAGGACGAAGATGTTTTCCGTGATTGTTTGTTCGTTTTTTTCTCTGGATTTTGTCGTTTTTTTCTGGGATTTCTTTCAAGCATCAGGATCAGCAGAAAGGCCAGGGGACGAAGCAGCAGAGCCAGCGGGAGGGAGAGAGCGAGACAGTGACAAAGGGAGGGAGCAGAAACGGCATCCCACTTAACAACGGAGAAGTAGGAGTGAGGAAAAAGGAGAGAGGAACTATAATAGGGACTTCTTTGCGGTTGTCTTTGGGTTTCAGTGGTTTCGGGTTTCTTTGGGCTAAGCAAAGTAGAAATCCGCCTTGATGGCAGCGTCAACGCAAAGAACATAGTAGTTGTGGTGACTGTGGTAAGACTCGTAGCGGGGTGGTCCGAGTGATCGAAGGTACTGGAAATAGTAGGGGTAGTGGACGGTAGTGGCACTTATTAAAAAAGAGCGGGAGGGGGTGAGGGGGAGGGCGCAGCGCCTCCCCCGCAATGCAAATCAACTATAGACAGCGCTGGGCTGCTTCGTTTCTTGATTGGTTTAATTGGGTGTCAAAGCTCAACGTGAAGGTCTTGTCAAAGCTGAGCCTGCACTTTCATTCACCTTTGCCGCGTTGCCACGCCTAAGCAAAGGTGGGCCTTATCATCCACCACCAGCGGAGTAGGAGAGCAAGAGGCCAGCGGACCAGGAGACCAAAGGACCAGGGCACCTAGTCAGGATTACTTTTTTGGATACTGTGCTTTTTATTGATCCTGTTCTTTTTTATTGCTCCTGTTATTCTTGCTGCTGTATAGCGGTTGCGGTGGTTGCGGTTTGTTTTTTTCGAGCTAAGTTTTTTTATATAATTAAATTATATGTAATAATAATAAGAGCCTGAGCATACTAAGTTAGCATGACTAATTAAGATTCAAATTTTGTTCAGACAACCCATGCTTCAGACAACCCACACCCAGTTTTCTTCGCTTGACAAAGCAGAGGATGGCACTATTGGCCATGAGAGGAAGACAAGCGGCGCCTTTTGCCACAGAGTTTTGCCCTATTCCAGTTCCTTCCAGGCCTTCAGCAATTGCACCACATTCTTCTTCCTTACAGTGTATTGAAACACAAGGATCTTCAGCTTGTTTTGGCATTGCTCTACTTCCATTTCACCACTGGTTTCAAAGCTGTCATAGCCATAGACTTCTTCAGCATGCCTGATCAGGTCATACAAGTGGTCGTTGCATTTTTCGATGTGTAGCAGCATTTCCGTCAGGTGGCGGCGGATGCCATCCAGCTTTCGCATCATCTGCCTTACAACTATTGATGACCATTTGGCGCACACCTCCATGGCATCAGTTAAACTCTGGCTTGAACCGCTGACACTGTCATGGAGCACACGTAATGTTTTCAGTGAGTATCAGGTACATGTGTAACAATAGAATGTTTTGATCCTATCATATCAACTTACCCAGCAGGAGATGATTGCCTTCTTCTCGGATATGTGGTAAAATTCATTTCTCAATGACATCGTCAATGTAGTAAGTCTACACTTTCAACATAACGACAACTCCGCAAAAGAAACAGCATGCTCATTGCCAGCCCTCCGAGGCCCGGCAAAAAATCACCGGGCCTGAGTGGGCCTGAGAGCTCATCGACATGGCCTGGCCCTCAGAGGCCCGGCAAAGTCACCGGGCCTGAGAGGGCTGAAGTGCCACAATAATATCAATCAAAGCCACCTGGTCCCATGTTCCCAAGTCAGCAAGACACAACTTTTCATCTGCGCCCGTAAATGTGATCAAACTTTCCTACCACGTTAGGCGGCGCGAACTGTGTCACAGTCACAAGCCCCAGCATGCTCGCAATACTACTTCATCCAGATAGGGAGCGATCATGTTCATACAGCAGGAAAGGCAGGCCATATCCATCTCAAGCGTGTCAAGGGCTTCTTTCAGGGCCATATAGACTATGGAATCACGGGCCAAAATCTGCAAGAGGGAAGGTTTGCAAAAAGCTTCGGTTGTCCAATCATCGGAGCTGTAATCTATAAGCGTGATTGCAAGTTGGATTTTTAATGTCTGTAAAAGATAATAGTAAAATAACATATTTATAGTTATCTTTTCAATAATTTGTCGCGCGCAATCACACCCTGACCTTCCATCACCTTCGATCACCGATCACTGACCTCACCTCCCTTTTGCTGACCTCGCCTCCCGGTCTAGCCCTTCCACAGCACATCCACCAGAGTGACATGGTTCTTAGAGTTCCACAGCACTTTCAGCAAAGTGGCCCCAGACCCGCCCATTTTCAAAGGTATATTATTGACTTAGTGATCAAAATTCTTATAATAATGATTCTTTATATTGTATTATTTGTATTTTTTTAATCATCATTCACCAATTATTTTGGTGTTCGGTCAATTTTGCCGGCATTGCTTCTTAAAAGCGCTCTGCCAGAATTTCCTTCTGGTAATTCCGGTGGTGTGTCTTGCTTTATAATTTGAAAAGCACTTTTAACAAAAGCTAATGATAAGAAACAAATTTGTTTTACCACTTCATCTGTCTCAGCACACCTTGAGCTTCAGAAAGCTTGGATTTCAATGTCAAGCAGGCTTGGTCAGAAACCCCCATGGAACAAAGCACTAAATTAACTTGCGAATAGATTTGATTTTAAAGCATCCTTGACCAGGCCCTATTCCGGATGTTGCTGTGGACGTGGTTCGATGTTTGAAGTATTTTCTTCATCCTTTCAAGCTAGCTACTGACCTTACATGACCCACGTCCACCAGCCGGTAGTTGCGCACTGGCGCCATATGGAGCCTCTCCAAAAGACATAGCCCCTGTGCAACAACTCACCGGCCAGGAAGGCCTCTGGACCTATCTGAAAAGCTTCTTTGTGGTGGGCATGGAGTCGCCCGTCGAAGGCACGATAGATGTCTCGCAGTAGCTCCATGACCTGCAATTCCAAAAAGCCTCCACGATAGAATTCCAGGTATGCCTCCAGGAAATTTGCTATTTTGTGCCCGTTGGATAGATGTCGTTCGAAGTCCCTCACAAACCAACGAACAAAAATTGCATAATGGAACGTTGCCACCTCGGATTCGATGCTTGCTTAAATTGAACATGAAAATACTCCCCAAGCAAACAACTTGCATTGAAAAAACATAATAAATTTCCAAAATTAAAACCAGCAACCCCTTCCAAAAGCGGACTGCAACCAATACCTTGGTGATATTCATCGTCTTGATGAAACCGTCCTGAGATTTGCACATATGACTTAAAATAAACGACATATAATTCCCAGGCCCAAACCTTTTCAGCAAAAATTGGAATGCACATCTTCAACCAAGTCTCTGTGCCAGTGGTCGATATCATTGTTCGACCACCTCCTCTTGAGATTCAACATGCGCTGGTAGAGGACGTCACCATTGGTCGTGCCTTGAAACCGCCGGGCTTCAAGCAAAGCATCGATGATGTCCGCCATGGTGGCACAAAATTGGGGTTGCGGCCAGCAAAAATAGAGGCTAATGTGACCTAATCTGCAATTCCTGAAAACTGGCAAGATGTGATGACAGTCGTGGCACCATATATAGAAATCTGCAAAAATCGAATGCCGCTGTAAAGCCAAAAACGGCTGGCGAATCACCTTGCATCAAACTCATGACATGCTTCTTCAAATTCCCCGCGCACTGGTTCTTCTTATTATCGACATGGCCCTCAGAGGCCCGGCAAAAAGTCGCCGGGCCTGAGTGGGCTTGAGAGCATGGCCTTGCCCTCAGAGGCCCGGTGAAAAGTCACCGGGCCTGAGAGGGCGTAAGCGCCACAATGTGAATCAACAAACCCCCAGCCCCACTTCCCGAGTCAGCAAATGACAACTTTTCATTCGCGCCCGTATGTGATGATCAAACTTTCCTACGCCGTTTAGGCGGCGTGAATTGTGGGATCCTTTGTCGTCTCTGCCATCCTTTTCGAATTTTGCTAGGAGTCAGTGGCAGGTCCTCACACGCACAAGCTGCAGCAATGGCTCGCAAGGCCACTCGTGATTTTTCATCCAGATAGAGGGCGATCATGTTAGCGCAGCAGGAGAGGCAGTTCGTATCCATGTCCAGCATCTCCAGGGCTTCTTTGAGGGCCATGGCTTTTGAATGGACTCAGCGGGCCAAAATCCGCAGACAACTGTAGGCTTAAACATCAGTTCACAACTGGAACCCTCAGTCTTCATTAACATATTACTTTTCCACTGACTATCCATGCCTTGTCAATCATTTGACTGACTCAACTGCCAAGCCAGAGCGAAAAGTTTTAAGAGGGCTGTCAGTCATCACACAAGCAATGCAGGAAGAGCGATGAAGCAAAGCGGATCTTTGGCTTTTGCCGCCATCTGCGCCTCCTTCACAAACGCTTTGGTGCGTTTTCTTTTCAGGATGCATCTCTGAGCTCGGTGAACCTGGCTTGTATGTCCTGCCGAGCACTCGATGATCTTGCACCCTCTCGAAACCCCGGATCCTTTTTGGAGAGGCCGAAAAAAGGGATGTGGGTATGATCTTGTTGGACCCTCTTAGCCCCGGATCCTTTTTCGGGAGGCAGAAAAAAGGGATCTGGGCCATCTGGCGATGATTGTTTGACCATCTAAGAGGGCCCGAATCCTTTTTGGGGGGCTTGGCAAATGGATTTTGCAGATTAATTTGTGTGGTTTTGAACCCTAGGTCCGTTGGCTGACATGACTTTACCTTTTCCCAACTACCACAAGCCTGCTCGGCCTCCAAAATCCACAATGCCCCTTCGCACAGCGGCCAGGAGACAGAAACAGGTATGGTCAGCAACCCCTAAAGAACAAGCCTTATGCTTGCTCACCCTTCTACGCAGACTTGCGCAGCCGCTTCCGGCCAGGCACGAGCGGAAGAGAAGTCCCTTGGCTGTACTCACTCAGCTGGCGGACGAGCGTCAGGTCCTGCTTAGTGACAGTCTGCCGCTTTGCGTGCGCTGCTGCCATAGAACCCTTGACCATGTACTCAGTACCCAAGGCCTTGCCAAATCTGAATAGTGCATCTTCCCTTTTGAAAACACTACAAACAGGTACGAGGCCTAATTACATGAATTGACACGTTGTGTTCTTTTGACGTTTGTATGTCCCCCGCACCTCCGCTGCATCCTGAAGAAGCTGGATGGCGCTGGAGGAGATGCGAAGGTTTGGCAATGGATGCTCACCGCCAGGACCACTCTCAGAATTCCGAGTGTCCACAAATCCCTTGAGGATGTCTTTGACCAAGCGCTGAAAAGGCGCTTTGGGGAGACATGTCATGTGAACGGCACTCTGCAGGTGGCGAATCTCATCTTCCGCACTGCGTAGCTGCCGAGTGCCATACTGTCCTTTTGGTTGCTTCTTCTCCCGAACTTCGTCTTTCTGTGGGCGGCCTCGCTTCTTCACAGGGGAAGGTGAGAGCGATGCCGGGTCCACTGCCGGCAGCGAAGGTTTGTGGAAGAGAAAATGGCCAACGCAAAGGCGAACCGTCACATTGTCACGGAGGGCAATCGGAAGCCACAGAGAGGACACCAACATGGAGCACGGTGCCACAAGAGGCTCCGCTGCGGACTTCGCAGCCATGGCGACTGAGGGTGGTGCAAAAAAGGCGGGCGTTCACCACTTGTTTACTTGTTTGAGCAAAATGCCTTTGTCAAGGCATTAGGTCCCAGATCGATCCTTGTTGACCTTCCGATCCTTCTCAGGGGGGCGTAGAAAAGGGATCTGGAGATGATCCTTTTTGACCCTGTAAGGAACCCCGGATCCTTTTTTTGGGGGCTTAGAAAAGGGATTTGGGGTTATCCTTCTTGACCTTGTAAGAAAGCCCGGATCCTTTTTGGGAGGCCTTAGAAAAGCTTTCTACTAGCCTGCGGTCCTTCAGCCATGGGAGAGCTTTGGCAATGTCTTGGTTCAACAATTGCGATTGGTGCTCGCCGCAAACAATCTCAAAGCAACGCCGCCGCTGCTCAAGAGGCATTTCGGAGTGGAGCTTCCGGAAAGCCGCCTTGCAAACGGCAGCTGCATCCTGCGCAAGGCCTGCCAGGTTTGTCACTTTCTCAGTGACTTCCTTGAGTCGATCCTTCAACCACAAAGAATCTTGCCGCATCCAAGAACTGTGGATGGTCTTGACATGTATGCAACAGTTCTCTTCGTTTGCAGCGTCGATCGTGGCAGAGGGAATGAATCAATTTACTATTATATTCAGGCTGACTTAATAAATCAGATAAAATATATTAGTCTAGGATGAACTTCAAAAGCCCTGCAAAGCCCAGCTTTGTGAGCACGAGCCTTGCAGGGCTGAAAGAAGTTAGGTAGACAACTGACTTGACTTTAGCCCGGCAAAGCCCTGCTGCGGTGAAGCTGGGCCTTGCACGGGCAGCAGGCTATTATATTAACCCAGTTGAGCCCTGCTGTATAGCTGGGCCCTACAATGGGTTAACAAGTGCCCACCAACATTAAGTCCCAACCCTTGGCGAGAGGACCCCCCCCCGCAGGGGGGGTCCTCTCGCCTGGCGTTGCCAGCAACAGCTGCCGAGAGGACCCCCCCCCCGCTAGTGACGCTAACCAAGTTCTTGAAGTAGGACCTTCTCTCGCCAGGCGCAACTCACGCAGGGGACCTCTCTCGGCAGCCGTTGCCAGCAACAGCTGCCGAGAGCACTCCCCCTGCGCAGGGGGGTCCTCTCGCCAGCCGTTGCTGGCATCAGCCGCCGAGAGGTTTGAAAGTTGCCAGTGCCGTATAGCGGTTGCTGCCGTATAGCGGTTGCGAATTTTTATGGTTTTAAATTTTAGTTTATCAATAGTAGTAGCCAAGTTGCAAGTGGGGGGACGCAACATAGTCTGTAGTCCTGCCGCCTCGTCATCATGCCTCGTTACATGTGTGTGTGGGGTAACTAACAGATTCAAGTAACAAGTTGACAGTCAGTCGTTGAATGATGATTTATTATCACGCCAAGCCATGGGCATTGTAAAAGGTCCGTCTTCAAATTCAGGCTCTCCCACTTCATCTCCTTGAGATCCAGCTGCACACGACGATGCATTGTGTTCTGCTGCCGCCCTTGCTTTCCTCACATTATTTCTTGAATTTGAATGCAAATAATTAATTTGAAATGACAACTCTGTCAAAATAATAGCCTTCAAAAAATTATTCGGTCATGTACTCAGCCCAGGCACGCCTTCACCCTCCTGGCCTTCCTAGCTTGATTTGCTCCTTGACGAATCTCAGGACTAACAGCAGCATTCATCCGCCGAGCACGCTCAAATGCCGCTGGCGTGCAAGGTTCAAACTGCTGCCAGTCGTCCAGGTGCACCGCAACCTTGCCAAGGCACTCGTCATCACAAGTTTGAGCCAGGAGAAGGCCATAGCAAGTGGTCAATTTGTGGCCATTAGCTGACCAAGGGTCTTGGAGACCTGACGCGCAGCTTCTTGCCAAGCTTTCAGGTTACCACAGTCAGTTTGCTGTGCAATCCTAAGCAGGACAATGACGACAAGGAGAATTTCATGAATCAAAACAGAACCCGCAAGTCTCGAATCTTTAAAATAATAAAGCATGCTAAATGCAAAAACCGAGGCGCCGCGATGCCAATGGCCGAAGACGATCAAGCTCAGCTTCAAAGCCACTTGCGCTAACTTCAAACACTTTCGCCAGCCTCTGGCAACTCACATCAACCTCAACCTTGAATCGCCTAGCTGCAGCACTGCGACAAGACCCATCAACCAAGTTGAAAACCCCATGGCAGCAAACAAAGTGTAGTCTGGCCATTCACTCTTCAACACTTGCATGACCAGATTCATCCACAGTTGCATTCTCTTGAAGACCCTGTCAAGAGTGGAAGGTGATGATGGCATTGCCAACCTACGAACATCACCGTCATCCACTATAAAGGCGACTTTTCCTTGTTGTAATAGCTCAACTACATGCTTGGTGTAGGTGGGGGCTGTCAACGCAGCTCTGTCTGGGCCAAATAAACAGTGCAGCCGGTCGACAAAGCTTTGTACTTGACCAGGAACATCGGCAACATCTACATCCTGACAATCCACTTGCCGCACAAGCAACAATGCTTCATCTAGGCCGTCACTCAAAAGCGCTGCCTGCAGCAGCCGTTCTGCGCTGAGCTGATCCAGGAAGAGCCGAGCACTTCGGGCTACAGCTTGACCTTTGCGAGTTTCTGAGACTCGCTGGCAGGCTTTGATGAACGAAGGGAGGTAAAGCAGCATACGGCCCAGTGGGCTAGCCAAACTCTCAAATCGATGCTTCGCAGCGCGAAGGTTCTGAATCCGGGCAGTGACTGGTGAATCTGCCGTGTTGTGTTCCAAATCTGCTGCAATCTCTTGTCGAAAGATATCCTTGAGGTCATAGGAGGCCTGGATTTTTTGTGCCATGGATGACTTTGAGGAAATAAAATCTTCGATGATATCTGACAAGTAGCCATCAACTTTGACAGGTCTTGTCATCAGCCTTCTGAAAGAGTGGGCTTTGTCCCGGCCAACCATCTTCAAATTTGGAGTGAGTATGCCGTCATTCTGCTCACCCACACCGCCCTCCTCCAAATTGGGATCACGCTGGCCTGCACCCGCTTGTGTTGCCAAGATCTCATTAGATGCACAGTCACTTGTCACGATCTCGATGGTCTGCCTGACAAGACTCGAAATCAATCTAACTGCACAAAATCAAATCTGACTGGAGTTAACATAAATAAAATAAAACCTGCTTCTAAGAAAGACCAAGTGACTGCACATGCTCCAGCAAATCATTCAGCAGCTCAGCATCAGGACCAGTGTACCAGCGAGGAGGACAAGCCCACTTAGTACACACCCTGGTCAAGATGTTGCGCGTAGCTCGCAAGATGTTTCCAGCCCGGTCACCTTCATCACGAGCAAGACCCAGCACCCCCGAAGAGAGTTTGAAATCATCACTGCAAACCCCATAGCGAACGAATAGCCTTTGACGCCTGGCATCTCGGGTCAGGGAGATGGTAGCAGAAGACTCCAGCTGTGACCTTGTTTCATTCAGCAAAGCCTCCTGCAAAGACCAGATCATGAGCTCCGTCTTGTCAGACCATGACTTGAACTGATTGGTTGCCCGCAATGAAGCCCCTCCTTGGGCTGATTCCAAAACTGTCTTGAAATCACTGAAGGACGGTGCTCCAGGCGGCTCAGTGCTAACATTCAGGTAAGTCTCCACAGCAGCAACATGCGCTTTGGATTTTGTGTGCTTGACCAAACGCCATCTGCTAAAATCCTGCGCGTCAGCTCCTGCTGTGCCTTTGGACCAACAACCTGGCATCTTTGCATCTTGGCAAGCAATGCACATAAAACCTGACTTCGTCCCTACCAACCAGGTTTCTTTAGCTCTCTGACGGGCGTCAGGCGCAAGAGATTTCAAAGCTTCACTTGCCAAACAATCACCCAGCAAAGCATCTTGCTGCCACCGCTTGGCCTTTGTTTGCCAAAATTTCAAATCTTCCTTGCCGCCATCATCTTCTCCCTGGAAACTCAATGACCGTGACAATGAGGCCTTTTGAGTGCTGGGATTTGACAATCGGGTTTTGTCCTTCTTTGCTTTAGGCCGCGGGGTCTGCCCAATGGCCTCAATGGCCAAGCTGCTCTCATCATGCATGGCGCCTCAAATCCTTATCTTTCAAAATATTCTGTGTCAAGTTAAGTTTTTATGTTTTTCAGTGGTGTCACATGACATTCAAAATATTCTGTGTCAAGTTAGGCTTTTCGGTTTTCAGTGGTCACATGACAATGTCTTTCAAAATATTCTGTGTCAAGTTAAGGTTTTATGGTTTTCAGTGGTCGTCAATGAAATAATTCTTAAAGTTTCTTGGGTCCTTGAGCCTTTAAAGAGCACAAGTGCAAGAAAGTCTGTTTCAATCCACAAGACGACATCATGAGCATGTTTAGACAGGACATTGATTGAGAAGCCCATTGAAGCCCAGCTAAGTTGCATGGGCTTGGATGGGCCAGCACAAGTCACGGCCCAGCACAAACGTGCACGGGCCTGGCCTGGGCGTGAGTCATGCTGAGAGAAAGCAAGAGGCGCAGCATAACTCAAGCAGCCCTGTTTTTGCTTTCACCATCGCTGCTGCCTGTCTCTTCCAGCTCAAATCACTTAATGGCCTTCATCGCCTTCTTGGCCACAGTCTTCATTGCCTTGTTGGTCTTCTTTTGTTTCACAGGCTTTGACGGCTCGTCCTTGGAGCGTATTTTGGGGAACCTCACCGGCGAGAACTGCTTTGCAGCTGGCTTTTTCTTGGGAGAAAGCGGTGCTTTTTTTTCTTCCGCTCCTCATCGCCGGGCGGCATCTCGCCATAAGGCCCTCTTTGGTGAGTATTCTCCGACATCCAGCTCTCATGTACTAGCCCGGCTTCTCGATCCCACTCCAAGCTAACCAACCTCATGGCAATTTAAAATCATCAGGATGATGACGAGCAGTGACGTTTCAAGAGATTAATGTGTCATTTCAATCCTGACTAAGTCTAACAGTAACAGTTCCCACCTGTAACCTCCCTGCAGCGTGGGATCGGTTTCCCAGCTGCGTGTGATCCAGCTGTACTCCTTCGTCCCTGCCATTGCTTCGTCTTAGGGCTGCTTGGGCAGCTGCAATCACCAGTGTCACTGACATGCCATGATGGCACTCCTGAATGGCCTGCCCCCCTGCGAAGTGAAAACAAAATTAAGCTTGAAGATGACATGTTAGAAGAGAAAGCCGATGATATGCTTCGTTTATTAAAGTGAATCCATGCTTTTATGAAGCCGTTGAACCCCGCATCTCATTGAGATGATCTAATGACAGATTACAATGTTTCCGCAAGTCAGTGAGCCAATCACTATTGGGAGGCTTGACTAGCCCAGCAAAGCCCAGCACATACAAGCATGGGCCTGGCTCGGGCAGTCATGCCAAAAGCAGCCCAGAAGAGGCCCGGCCACAAATGGCACGGACCTGATCGGACGACTAGCTGAGCCATATCTAAAAATGCAGCAGAATCGCCCAGCAGCTCTGTTTTGCTTTCACCACCGCTGCCTGTTCTCAGCCGGCTCAGATCAGCTAGGTCTTCCTGGTCTTGGGCGTGGTCTTCATCACCTTGTCGCCGACCTGCTTGCTGGACTTTTTCTCCTTCGTGGATGCCGACCTGGACGATTTGTCTCCCTTGGTGGGCTTTGCCGGCGACCTCTTTGCAGCCGGTTTCTTGAGCGGCGCATCACCCTTCAAGTCTTCCTCCGTGTCACTTGCTGTTGGAACCACTTCACCTGGCCCTTGTTGGGAGCGCCGATGTGAGATCCAGCTCTCATGCACGAGCCCGGCTTCTCGATCCCACTTTAAGTCGACCAACCTCAAGGCAATTTAAAGGGATGGTGTGTGAAGTTACAATTCAGCTATCAAAAATGCAAACTTGTTCCCGCCTGTAACCTCCTTGCAGCGTGGGTTCGGTTGACCAGGAGCGTGTGACGAAGGCGTATTGCGGTTTCGCCATTGCTTCGGCTGCTTGGGCTGAAAGGCAGCTGCAATCACCACTCAGTGACACTGACAGGATCTGATGGCAATAATGAATGGCATGCACCCTTAAACTGAAGACATGTTACTAGAAGAAAACTTGTTTCATTGAGCACTGTCTGGTTTTGAGACGCTGAGCCCCACATCTCTTTGGTTGAGATGAAATATGACAAGTTACAATGTTTCCCCAGTGAGGGACGCAAGTTACAGGCATGACTAGCCCAGCAAAGCCCAGCACAAACGCGCATGGGCCTGCCTTGGGCTTGAGTCATGCCAAAATACAGCCCAGAAGAAGCCCGGCCATGAATGGCACGGACCTGATCATCGGACTGGCGGAGCCAAACAGCAAGTGAAAGTAGCAGCCCCCCAAACTCAAGCGGTCGTCTTGTTTTGCTTCAAAAACCACATCGCTGCCTGTTCTCAGCTGGCTCAGATGATCAGCTCTTCGACTTCATCGGTTTTTTGGCCGCAGTCTTCATCCCCTTCGCCTTGTTGGTCTTCTTAGTAGGCTTGGTCGTTGGTGATGGCTTGCACCCCTTGAGCTTCTGCTTGGCCTTCACCGTGGACTGGTTTGCAGCCGGCTTCTTCTTAGCAGGCAATGCTTCCTCGTCATCCTTTGCCCTCTCCCACTTTTCCGCCTCAGGCCCTGCGACAAAGCCCATGTGCGCAATTTTGTTAGGACTCCACGCCAGATTCTCATTCCAGGACATGGCTCAGCAACAAGCTTGAGGCAGAGTGGCTGTCAACCACTTGACACTTGAAGTCTGGGAAAAGGCTGAGCGGCGAAGCATGGGTTGAAGTTGTCTGAACAAAAATCGAATCTTAATTAGTCATGCTAACTTAGTATGCTCAGGCTCTTATTATTATTACATATAAATTAATACAACATTATAAAAAAAAACAAGTTCGAAAAAAACAAACCGCAACCGCTATACAGCAGCAAGTATTTTTCATCCTGGCCCTAAATATTACCCTCGGGTGGCTCACAAAAGGTAAGCACTGTTGGCATAGCACCTTCCGCTCCTAAATTATACCCTCGGGTGGTTCAGAAAAGGTATGCGCCGTTGGAATGGCACCTTCCTCTAAATGTGACCCTCGAGTATAGCTCACAAAAGGTCACAAAAGGAATCCACGGCACAGGCTCTTTACTGCAAGCAGCGCACTAAACAAAGCTGGTCATTTGCAGCAGCACTTGCACCGCTTCAAGCTGCCTTTTTGCAATTGTAAACGCAGAAGCAAGAGCAAGTGCAAAAGCGCTTGCTAAAACCGAAGCAGAAGCAGGAGCAAAGGCAAAAGCAGAACGCAAAAGCAAAAAGCAAAAGCAAAAAACAATCCCGGAAAAAAGAAAAAGAACAAAAAACAATCCCAGAGAAATACAGCGAGAAATACCGGTTCTTAGATAAAAACCTTGCAAAGTACCAAAAAGCAACAAACTAGGCCTCATGTTTTTCGGAGTACTCCAGGTCATACTACCATGGTACGACCTCACCACCTCGTCAGCGTTACCGTCGCCTTCGCTGCTTCGGCCCACTTGAAGCCGTTCATCACAAAATCGCCTCTGCCGCTCGCGAGTGGCGGGTCGATCCATCGGAATCGCTGTGAAAAGCGGTAGAACTCCGATCTCCAGGCGATTGTATGGCGGATATAAGTGATATATTATGATAATTAGTTAATATTGATGGTGGACAAACTCACTGATTGACTTACTTTTTTGGGATGCACTTATCACTGAAAGCTGGTTCTGGGAGCTGCTATATTGGATTAGGGCGAAGGATGGCGAAGGGATTATGCATGTTGCAATGAAGCTCGGTTTAGCAATGCCCATTTTGTAAGTTCAACTTTTTGGGGCATTTCCCGCTCCTGCACTGACTGGAGTGCTGGTGCACCATGAGCCACTAGAAGACCCGATTGCATTTCGCAACAGTATGCTATATAAAGGATCCCTCGAAGTCACATGCAAACTGCTACTCACACCACAGTGAAAACAATGCCTAGGGCCTAGAACAAATCTGCAGGCTATCAAGAAGGATTTTGATAGTTTGCCCAGAGGAGAACCAGCCAACTAAGCCTGGAGACGGTGGGGAAGTGTGCGGTTGGCATGTGCTCACATTGGAGAGAAACACATCGATCGACACAATAAATCCGGCAATGATTTGCCACGTGAAAATATGGACAAAAGCAATACAAGTGCGACATGATGTGAACTGAAATTTGAAGAACACCTTGGAAAAAGATGAAAAAGAAGGGCGCAGGTGGAGTTCCAAATCTGCCTGGCCCGCCTCCTCATCTGGCACATTGAATGCCAAAAGCTGTGGACAAAATGATTATCATCCCTGACACCTGATGGCTCTGATCTGGAACATTTGGCTCGGTCAACGGTGAGTGCTGATAAGATCTGATATGCAAAGATGCAATGGGGGGATGAGGGGCCTTTGAAGAGGAATTTGTTGTTGTATCTGAAGGGCAACCAGTGATCAGAGTCTGGACATCTGTGAGTGCCACTACTTTCTCTTTTGTTTAATGTTGGCCCGTCGTGGAGTCTCAAAGTCTTCCACATTTTGTACCAAGAACAACTTGCCCAGCCTCAACGCCAGCATGCGCATGAAGGTGCTCAAATGGTTTCACCATCACTGATAGTAAACGCTCTCCTGTTCATCTGGGCTTTGCAAGGCCTGCCCCGATGGAACATAATGCAAGCTATAGTTAGAACGTGCTAGAACTATGCCCAAAAAAAACACCGTCCAGACTGACATACAAGTATCGATCTGTTCATCTTGCTGCAAACCACCGTCCCAATATCAATTGGCACTGCCACTTCCCCACTTCAACACATGAATCCATACAGTATGAATCCTCTCCAGGGTGGTCAGGACTCCAGCGTACATGTTCAACATCAGTACGTCGAAGACATGCAGCCCCTGATTCCGCCCAACTAGGTCCGGTCCAAATAGCATCCCTATGTGAAATCACGGGTTCACTCCTGTTGGCGGACAAACACCTGCACCATGAGCACCATGGGATCCCTTATTTTAGTGGGCAGGTAATTCCAAGCCTGCAGAATGACTATTGACCGGCTTTTGCAGCACGCGAGGGCACAAAACGTGAGGCTCCAGCCAGCC